ATAGAAAAACTTGCCTTGTAAGTCAAGGCATGTGTCCTACAAAGTCAACACATATTGGAGGTCCTATAGAACGTCGCCACGTAGCCCCTAGTTAGATAGTATATATAGAGACAAGAGTGAAGGCTTCTTCACTCTTGTCAACTCCTTTCTTGCTTCTAGTCTAGGTTCAAGAGTCTTTAGTTTCTTGTCTTGTGGCAATAGCCATTCCAGTTTCCTTTCAATATACCTACTTGTTTATATTTTGACTTATTATATCGAGATAGCCTTTTGGTGTATATTTTTCCTCATCGAGTCTTTGTCCTTGACAGTCTATGACTTCTACATGGACAGGCTTAAGTTTCTTTACAAGAGAAATATTGTGAAGCTTGGCAAACTCTTCATCTATAAAGCAAGCGGATGCACCCGAGTCTAATAAAGCATCGACTTGTAGTTCTTGAATACCCAGATGTAAAGGTACCATAAAACAATCTGAAGGTTGAGTTGAGAGAAAGGGACCTTGATTAGTTTTGGATGTTGAGATGTCCATCCGCACGGTCCCTATTGTGGCTGGGCGTCCTTGTTTTCCTGCATGCTTGTACTCCTGAGTCTTGTTGTTTGAGGCTTCTGTTTCTTCTGACAATCTACAGCTTTATGGCCCGCTTCTCCACAATATAAACACAAGTTTTGTTCAAACCGTCGCTTCCTTTCCTCAGCTGTGAGGGGTTTGAAACGTACCGCATCAATTTGCATGGGTTCAAGATCTGTGGAGTGATTCTCTAGACCTTTTGAAAATGTAGCAAATGCTCCATCATTTCTCTAGCTTGATCGTCTTTCTTGTCGTAATTCAAAGAGGCGGTTGTCACAAATAATTGCCTGAGATATAAGTTCTTCTAAAGTATTCGCCTTAGGCATGGTGATCAATAAGTTCTTGACATCATCTCTCAGTCCATATCAAAATCGTGTCATGAACGCCTTATCATTCCAATCAAGATCACATGTAAGCTGTTGAAATTCTGCAACATAGATTGCAGCAGAACGTGATCCTTGTCGCAGATTTTGTATCTTTCTTTCAGCCACTCTTTCTCGATCGCTATCTCCAAACGCAGCAGTAAGTCTCTCTATGAAAGCATCTAGGTCGTACAATATTGGAGAATCCTTCTCCAATAGTGGAGCAAACCAAGAGCGAGCATTTCCTGATAGAAGAGTACCTATGAAAGCAACCTGGGTAAATCCATTTGGATAACGAGAAGGATATAGGCGTAGGTAAAGCCATACTTGTTGCACAAAACCTCGGAAGTTAGCTCTTGTTCCGTCAAACTTGTCTGGCATATTCGCTTTTGGTTCTTTTGTACTAATCCTTGAAGTATCCATAGGGGTCGTATGTGACACATGTCTTGCTTCTCTCAATCGAATAATCTCTTGTTGTAGGCTATGAATTTTGCGTCTAGCTTCTTCGGTCACTAGATCAATTTGAGGTTCTTTACTTGGATTGCGAAGAAATGCAATCTCTTTACGTACACTATTCAGAAGAGCTTGAAGATCTGCAAGAGTTGCCACTCTATTGTCTACTTGTGGAGATGCACTGTCTATGACCTGGTCTACTTGCATATTTAAAGAATAGATGGATTAAAATTTTGAGAGAAGAAGAAATTGCTAAGTCTCTTGGAAAAAATTGTAGCACTACCTGTCACTAAAACCTACTCGGAGAAAAGAAAAAAAATACTAAACGATTTCAGTTTTAGAGGAGGGTAATCCGCAACCTCTAAAAATGCCTCAATGCTTTCGAGAAGAGGGGTAATCCGCACTCTATCAAGAAGGCAAAGCTCTGAAATCGATGTTAACAGTCTTTTTTACTAGCTATGCTAAACAAAAAGAAGGAATTAATATCAGTCCAAGAGAGGGTAATCCGCAACCCTTAGAACGCTCAAGTATCTCCAAGGAAAGGGGTAGTCCACTCTCTGCCTCAAAGAACTAAGCTCTGATATTGTGATTGAGAAAATATCAGTTTAGATGAAGGTAATCCGCAACCCCTAAAGCGCTAGAATACCTTCAAGAAGAGGGGTAATCCGCTCTCAAACAAGAAGGATTCAGCTCTGATATTAAGATAAAGGTAGTCTCGACAAACTGTCACGGACCAAAAATACAAACAAGAAATCTAAACAAGAAGTTCAAGAAGAAATGACAAGAACTAGATTATCGGATGAGTACAAGAACAACGCCAAGAGAATTGAGCTAGAGCTTCAAGAGATGTGTTGTCGAGACTGAAGAACTCTTCAGCCTCGACTCCTATATATACTACTGGCCTATGGTTCTAAGGAAGCACATCAAGAAGCTTCCCAAGAACTATGAAGCTTCTCGAGCAACTACCCAAGAGCTAGGAAGCTTCTCAAGTAACTTCCTAGAATCTATTAAAATATTCTAAGAATCTTCTAGAGCCTTCTAAAGGAATCTTTAGAGAATCTTCAAAGAATCTTCAGAGAATCTTCAAAGAATCTTCAAAGAATCTTTAAAGAATATTCTAAGAAAATATTCAAGGAATCTTCTGGAAGTTTCTAGAGACTTCTTTCTAGAAGGTTCTAGAAACTTGTCTCTAGAAAGGTCTAAGGACTATGTTCCTAATAATAATTTATTCCAAACTATAATAAATATAGGCCAAAAGTTACCAAAACACCTTACCATGCATTTAGCCTAATGAAATTAACATTCATATTTTTCAAATTAAAGGAATTATATATAAGTAAGTAGAAATAAATAGATTTGATAATATCTTGTTGAAAAGCTTCATTGACAAGGTTTGACTTTATATATATTTGTAGGTAGTTGGTAGGTTAGAAAGTAGGCCAACAAGTTGGCCATGTGTTGCACATGTTAGCCACTTGTGGTAGAAGTTTGTCATGTAATGTACATGTGAAACTAGTCTTGTAAGTTAGATATATGTTTTACAAATTGGACACATGTCGGACATCTTATAGAATGTTCCCATATAGCTCTTAGTTAGATAGTATATATGGAAGCAAGAGTGAAGCCTTCTTTACTCTTATCAATGCTTTTTTAGTCCATAGTCTTGTTTCAAGAGTCTCTAGTCTTGTTTCAAGAGTCTCTAGTCTTCTTATCTTTGGCAATAGCCAATCTAATTTAAATATTATACTAATTTTGAATGAATATCTATTCCTTTCGACTAACCCAAGACTTTTGGATCTCTCATTTTTACTTATTATTTTCCAATTCATGCTATAATTTCTAATAATTTGGAATAAAAGGACAAGTAAGCGATATTTAGATGTTAAGAAATTTTGTGAATCTAAGCTTGCTTTTGTCAATGAAGAGTTAGTACACTCATTCTTATTGTTTGTTGGAGCACTTGACAACAAAGTTCAAGATATGCAGTTTTTGAGAATAGAGTAGCCTCGAGAAAGATTGTGGGATTAAAGTCTGAAGAAAGTGTTGAATTGCTATTGTTGTGATCTATTGTTGTGATCTATTGGTGCCAAGCACAACAATAGATCACAACAATTTCTATTGTTGTGCTCGGCACCAATATGATTGTTGTTTTTAGTTGATGAGTATTTTTTTAAGCATCTAAGTTTTTGAAGTTGGCTCAAAAGATTGTCTATATTCATAACAAATTATAGTGAAATGAGACAATATGTTGTACATAAAGTATAGACAAAGTTTTGTGAAAAATTAGAGCTACAACAAAGACAAGTGAGGTGATTGAGCAAAAGCATTGGCATTGTATGTATATATAAAGGAATTTTTGCCAACACTTACTTTCTTTTAATTTTAGGTAGTTCTTAGAATTTATAGCTTAGATTGTCTTATTCTCCAAATGTTCAAAAATAAGTTTTCTATACTTATTGTTTATATAGGGATGAAGGTTGAAATGAAGGTTGGTAATGAGAATTAAGAGTGGGGGTTGAGAGTTCATGTAGGAAATGAAGAAAATTGAGATGAAGGCTAGGAATAGAAGGAGCAAGATTAAGAACAATGAGAGTTGGAAATAAAGGAAGCATGAGCTTAAAACAAGAGAGGTTAAGATGAAAGCCATGATTTTAATGATAGTTTTCAGACATGATTAATGTATAAGTCAATTTTGTATTATATTACAATACATGTTATTTATATCTGCTATATATATATATATATATATATATATATAGTATTTTTAAGTATTTTGATTTATGCATTAATGATTTAATTCTTAAATAACAATATTATATACATATCTTATATATATTTTTATATTTTTTAAATTACTTGATTAAAATAAATTATAATTGCTTACTTTCAGAATTTATCTATATATAACATAAAAAATCAATATATAATTTTTGCAAAATTTTTTTTTTTGTAAAATAAAAATTAGTAGTGTAAAAATATTTTAATAAAAAATAAATTTATTTTGAAATATACAACAAGTTCTTATAAATCATATCAATTTTATTAAAATAATATTAAAAACTTCTATTTACTTTTTAAAAATAAAATATAATGTCTCATAAGAATAAAATATAATCTTGTACATTTTGAAATTTTATTGAACATTATCAAAAAGCAGAAACCCGTGCAGTTGTGCATGGAAAAGCTGTAAATTGATTTGCTGTATGAATAGTAAACTGGAGGTCTTTCTGCAAGTTTTGCAAGGCTTTTTGCTGGTTAATAATATCTTTTATTTTGGCCAATGAGAAAAGATACATGAAGTTATATTTCACATAACTTAATTTTTTTAAAAAAAACGTACAAAAGAGTGAGGAAGAGTTTTAAAAAAACACACGAAGTAACGTTGAAGTTGAGATGGCTGGCACCACTTCGGCACTACTTTGCAACAACTCGGAGTTGATCACAATAACAAAAGAGGGTCAACAATGCAGAATTTGCAACAAAATGATATTTAAATTTAACAACTGATTGTATTGATGCATCATGTTGGCATTGTTGTACACACCGAGAGCAGGTTCCAGCCTGTGGATCGACTGTATGCAATGATGCAAAGAAGCCACAGCCTGCCTGTGAACAAGCTCTTGCATAAACACACAACACCGAAACATCTTTATTTCTGTTTGACAAAGAATTGTACTACATTACTGTCCATCGCAGGTTGATTGAGGAAGTTATTGAGCGACTTAAATACGATAAACAAAGATGAGATTGGTGGACAAAGGCTACTGAATACTGACCGCTAACGACAGGCAACTTCGTTCAAGGGGCGGTGGAAACTCCGAGGACGTTAACATGGTGTACAGAACATTGAGGACTGCCTCATCACGACAACAATTACCGTCCGCTGTCGGAGTACATCGCGACGCCGTCGATGTGCTTCACGTAATTTGGGTTGCTTATGGGAAGCCTAGAGAATGACACCTGAGATCGATACATTGGCTGGTCATTGAGAACTGTGGTATAGGAGCTACCAGAGTTCTCGACGAATGTGAGAGGGGTGTACTCGCGATCTGGAGCGATGATGTACTCGGCGTCGTGATGCCGGTGCCGGTTGAAGGACGGGATGCGGCGAAATGTGTAGTAATCTCGGTGATTGCTCCACAATTGAGGTCGTTGGTCCGGAACGACGGCTATGTACTCAGCCTCGCTGTGTCGGTGTTTGTTGAAGGAGGGTAATCGACGAAAGCCATTGTAGTCATTTGCATCGTAATCCTGGCCTCTTGGGCCGACTCCATCATGGTAACTCACCTTGCCGCCTGCGAACGAGGGGAGTCTTCCCAAGGTGGGTCGGCTGGTGATCTGCAGGCTGCCAGAGCTTGCCTGTGCATGTCCGCCACTTCGTTCAAAGTCCCGGCGGTAGTCGATTGATCTGCCCCTACCCATGTTCTGGTATGTCCCTGATCTTGTACTATCCACAGTCATGCCACGGCTTGAATTGAAATTTCCATCGTCGTTGTCTATGTCGCCAATATGACCATTTTCGTTTCTGATCAGCTTGCATTTTTTCTTCACAGCATGTTCAGCTCTCTTCAAGCACTTATCGATGTCGATACCCCCGCCCCTAACCGTAACCCGAGAGGCGTACTGGTCGCAGTAAACGGACTCCACCCCTTTGATTTTACCCAACTCCATCTCGACCTTCTCCTTGCACTTGTCACAGCACATGGGTACCCTGAACATTATGACCGAGTCGTCAAACCCCCGCCTGTGCCCACCGGAGGACTTTCGGTATTCACCGCTGCCCTCACGGTACGGCTTCCGGTACTCTTCACCGCGAGATAATGGCTCACTGCCTCCATATGCTCTGCCGTATACGCCTCGCAACTCTGTTGTGCTGTAGTCTGTTCGGTTATAGCCATCCAAAGCCTCCCCGTATGGCCTACGGAATCGATTGCGCACATCCGAAGAGGAACTCTCAGGGTACTTGTAGTATCTGCCAGATTCAGGAGCTTCGCGGTGGACATAGGCACTGCTGTAACCGTACTCTGGTTCCTCTTTCCCCTTCAATAGCTGCTCGTCACATGCAGTGCACATATCAGTAGGAGCGACTAAGGATGCTCACGAACGTCAAACTGAGATAAATGCAAGGCAAATTGAGTAACAACAACAATGATACAACAGCTCTATGTTCATTCTGGCTACCAACAATGACCCGGTGATGTCTCAGACACCAGCCAAGATTGTTACACACGAGAGGACGGCCCAGAAACTGTCTGATACAACCTCCTTCGCAGTGAATTTGTCAACACGTAGGTCAGGCTTCGTCATCGTTCACTCTTACTCAAATCAACATAGACATCGTCTCAATGAATCTGTTTGTGAAGTAAAAACTGCTCGAGAATTAGATTTTGAACGCACATCTCTGTTCAGACTCAAACAAGGGCACATGCATACATCCTACTCTTCACTACAGACAGCTCAGATAGGAAACGCACTTCCTTGATGCCTTCCACGATGCGGGCCATGGTCGGAATGTTGCGGCTGTGAGCAGCAAAATTCTCTGAATCCTTGCACGCAGAATACTTGTGCAACCAACTCAGCTAGTCCTCAACCGAGACTCACAACCTTCACTTCGCATGAAATCGCAACCAACCAATAAAAAATTTGTACTCGTCTCAACCAAGATACTCCATTAAAAAACACCAGCGGTACTGTTGAAAGGTCACCAACACTGATCTTGCTTGTCGAGGGGAAATCTGAACAACTGCAAACAAGAGATTGTCGATCTCTCAGCTTACAAAACTTTGGCGGGGGAGCTCAAACGAGTCTCTTATTGGCTGGGACCGGCGTTCCGAAACTAGATGATCTTGTCTGTTTACCATTACTACATGCGTTTAAGAACCTCGGAGAACGTGCAGAAGGATGATGAAATTGTTCATCAGCAAATGTGCCCAGGAATTGTTATTTCTCTTCGTTACCGCCAGTATTCATGTTACTGAATGCTTGTTTAGAATCAGGTTGATGGGGTTAGAGCTCTCATTCACTTGACTAGCCTCTGTTGAAGGGTCAATTTCTTGTTATATTCCATGAAATCACAGCATGACAATCAATTAGCACTGATAATTTGTAGATTAATTGAATTTTAAAGTAAGAAGAAAGGAGGTGGAGAGTGAATAAGAGTATTCTGTATGACCAAGCTTTGAGATGCTGATATTCTTCTTGAACAAAATAAAGAATAAAAAAGAAAGAAAAAAGAAGAAGTTGACTCACCAAACATTCTATCATGGAGAGCACAAATGTTGCAAATTACGGATAATTACATGACTTATATTGTAGGACATTGTAGAATCAGCAAAACAACTTCATCCAAGACATGGGTGATTTGAACAAAATTGGAGAATTGTGGTTGAATACACAATTAAGATTAAAAAGAATTTCAAGAAGAGAGAATATCTTACACAACTCCAAGGGCAGCTACACCTCTTACACGTTCACAAGCGAAAAATCTTACCCAACTATGCAACACTTTAATCTAAACACACTTTCTACGCTCATGTTGAATATGGACTGTCAGTTTGTATCAACATTTTTTGTAAGATAGAGAAGGTTGCCTGGTTTCAACTATTTAGTGCTTATAGGGGCTGAAGAGGAACACATGCTTTCCTTAAAGACTCTGGTTGCACACCAAAAGGATGAATTGAGAATAATATGCCTTCAAAACTGTTGCTTCACCTGACCTTGTCAAGCCACAAAATTGCTAATCACGAGATACAATCAGTTTTCTTCATAAATTTAGATATGAATGAATTAAAAAAATTCCATAACGAAATCCGAAGTTGATCAGCAGTGTAAATATTCTATTTGTCACTTAAAAAGAAAGAAAAAGAGACTAAGCAAAATAATAAATAAAATCTTCTTTGCTTTTCTACAGTATTGTAGTGTATGAATTAAGATTTTTTACTTTCATTTTCATTTTCATTTTTTGAAATGTTTTGATACTGACATCTCAAATTTTATCACATAATATTTGAATGCCAAGACTAATTGGTTACCTAATGTGATGTTTGTATGACGTGTAGAGTTAAAACAAGAACACAAAGTAAACAAGTTGAGTAAATTGAACTCCAAAATATCATTCTGAATCCGACCAATAATTGAGTAACGCACTTGGTATTGTTAAGGGTTCGGACAATAAGTCTTGTCCTATGAAGCAAATGGTGTGAAAAAGATGCATGGCGATCCAAGACTGCACTTCATTATTATGGTGGATCGGGAGAAGACCACTGCAAATTTTGGAGTTGATGGCCAAGAGAGACAAGTCTTGTCAAGAGTTTCACAACGCGATCAAGCTGAAGCTGACTTAAGCTGGCGATGTCTGCAGAAGAAGCACACCATCGTGACGTAGCGGTGCCTCGATGTGTGCTCGTTGATCAGTGCCATGGAGTTGTCTGCAGTCCGACGCAGGAGTTATGGTGCAAGAGTGGTCAGTGGTATGTAAAGTGCGGGAACTTGCCATCAGAATTACGATCGGACATGCGAATCTCTTTGGACATCCAGTTTCCAGCTTTGGGAGGGTACTTACAATGCTCTGATGTCACAGATTGTGAACGACGGTATGAGATTCGGTGTTTAAAGTTCACATGCTCGGAGACGATGAATGCTTGGTTGTGCTTGCGCACTGGGAATCTTCGCACAATTGGAGCTCAGTGAACAGCTATAGGTGTAAGTGTGTGTGTTACAATACATACATATATATATATATATATATATATATATATATATATTGACACATACACACACACTCACACACATATAAATAGTTTCCATAGTTTTTTCAGAAGAAATGTGAACGTTGATGTTTTTGGTAGTATAAGAATATCACTTGAATTGGTGGAAAGTACCAGTAGAGAAGTAAAAGAGGTGGTCCATAAACCAGTGACCTTTGTGCTTAAATCAATGGCTAAAATAAAACTTAAGTACAAATAGAGGACAGTGGCAAGCATGAAACATGCTAAAAAATAATTTGGAGAAGCATAATTTGCATAGTAAACATGAAATAAAATTTTCAAACACGCCGAAACCTCATCGCAAGAAAATACCAAAACGAAGTTTTCTTGTTTTAAAATTTTGACTTGGTTGAAAATATTCTCACTAACAGGTTGCAGGACTCCTGTTTTCACCAGGCGTTGTCTTCGCAGCAGAGTCCACCTCCTCGGAATCAATGATGCCGAACACAGTCGAAAGACGAAGTCTAGAAACGCCAAGCGATGCACTCCTTGAACAACGTCCCCGATTTGAGACATTGTATTCTCGGTTGAGATCCCACAGCAACACTGCTTTATCTCAGCACACGTATTACTGAACGTTTGGTGCAAGAAGTCAGAAATCTCAAACAGAGGGAACATCTTTGGAAACCAGACCTTCAACGCTGTTGAAAGTGTGCATTGCGACGGCTACCGAACCGAACCGAAAGGACGTAAGCCTTTGAATATTCTTCACAAAGAAATACATGTTGAGATGTCAAGTTCGTGAATGAGTCTGGTTTGAGTACTCGCCACTGCAAAACACTGAGCCTTGAGCATGTCAATTAAGGGACACAGAGCGACCACGTCATGAGTGGAAAGAACGCAAACAAAGAGGACAAGTTCAACGCGGTGGCACTGTTGTCAGACCATAATAGACTCGAGATATGAGTTGTTGTCACAGTGGGTTAAACAACAAGCGCAAACGATGTTGTTTGTGTAAAGATTGAAGCCATTGTCAACTTATGTAAACTAGTTGAACCGCATTCGAAAGATGGGTTCTACTAGAGTGGCGTCACGAAATGACTGCGAAGAAATGTTCAGCACAGTTCATTACACACGATAGGAAGAAAAGCATCCTGTCTTGTCAATTCTCCTCTCGATCAAACCCTCGAAGGAGAAGTGACCATTTATATGAAAGGAATCATGTAACATTCCTCGGCAACACCTGCTAGTTGTGCAACGAGCTGTTGTGAGATGAACACCGAATTTTTTTAAAGATCAATTTCTAATGTTGTCCGTGAACTTCCTTACATAATCAAACCAAGGGCAGAAATTATCCACAACTTCTCTGAGTACCAACCTGCAAAGAAATTGTGAGAACATAAACTTCAAAAAATAGGTTGTCCAACTGATTGAAAATCTTGAATTAAAATTTCAATTATTTGTTTACTGTACTTAACAAACAACTATTTATACCAGGGGCGAATTAAATACAGGAATAACAAAAATATATAAATTAGAAGAAAACGAGTTGGAGTATTAGTTTTTTTCCTACATAATTTCTTTGTACATTTTTTCTTAACAAGATTGAGAATTAAAAAACTAATAGACTCTTGCCAAAAACTCTTATCAAAAACTATTATTTATAGATTTTCAAAATAAACTATTTGACTTGTCATCACTTTTATTATAATAAAATTGAGATAAATATTTGAAAATTTAACATATGTATTTTTAAAAATTTAAAAGGGAGTCTTTGTGCTTTTGATGTTATTAAAGCCATGTATTATAGCGAATGGCATTTCAAATATATTATTTGAAAGTAATCAAAAAAACATTGATAATAATTAATTAATTAGGTAATCTTTCTATTGACATATGAAATATTGTCATTAGATAAAATGACCTATTAACCACTTTTATAGATAGCATAAATCATATTTTATAACAAATTTTACTTAACAAAACTTCAACTTGGAAGTTTTTAAATTATCTTAAAATTTAAATGATTGTAGTAAAATATTTTTCTAGAAAAGATATATATATATATATATATATATATATATTAAATAAATAAAATATGAATAAAAAATTATATTTGTATGAAAAACTAAAAAAATAAAAAAAAAACTTTGGATATGGATATAGATCTTTAAGTATACTATATGTCTAAAGAAATTTATACAACTTTCTTACTATTTAAAAGTAATAATAGTAGCATCTTATAACTTAGACACTTAATTTATAAGATTTGTGATTCTAAGCAAGCTTCTTTATGAAAATTTTATTAATTATTATATGTTAAAATAAGATAAAAAAGTCTTTAGTCTTATTGACATCTTTCTTATATTTTAATTTAGGATTCTTTGATATCTAAAAAATAATTATTGATTTATTAATTTGATTGACAACTAAAAAATAATTATTTTGATATTTAAATATAATATAAATATAATTTTTAATTTTTAATTTAATTAAATTTAAAATTTTAGCCATGAGTATTTAGATTTAAGTTTTTACTATTATTAATATCTGGTTTAGACTACATGCTCACCTCAAGTTGCTATATGTACACCCATTATGTCTATAAGCACATTCAAGGCCTCTAATTGGCTTCTTTGCTTATCACATACAAATGGATTTGGAAATGATGTCCTTCCCTTCTTCCTTGTCACAGTGCAAGTCTTTGAATTCCTTCTCCTCTTTCTTATTTTAGCACAAGTTTTAGTCTTAGCCCAAGTCTCGGACTTCTTGTCTCTTACCTTTGTTGTCAATCAAATTAATAAATCAATTAATCATAGGCTCTTATTTTATTGAGTGTACATATAGCCATTTAAGGTATGTATATAGCTTAAGCTTTGTATATATATATATATATATATTTAATGTAATTTTATATAGAATAAAATTTCTGAGGTATTTTTTTTCTTTTCTAAATGTATAATTTATTTTTAGATATAAGACTAAACTCTCTCTTTAAAGTTTCTTGGTGTGTTTTTATATTTTTTTAATAACTATAAAGTAATGCTATCTTTTCTTCTT